CAAATGCTGAATCGCGTCTGGACCTGCGTTTCTAGGTTGTGAGCAAGCACTGGTGCGTTCCGGTTGCAGAAATAAAAAGTAGAACAGGCGGCATTTTTCCTGCACAGAACTGTTCTGGAATGCGGTAGGATGCAGAAAAAATGCACCAAATCAAAACGCACCAAAAATGCACTGGAACTCACGCATACCCATTTAAAACTGAAGAAAAAGAGAGGGGAAAAAATGAACGGGAAAGCATCGAAAACGCACTGTAATGCGTCAAATACACAAAAAAACGCACAGGAATGTGCCAATGACGATGTGGAATTGCATCTTTAACGCATCTGGACTGCGTTTCTATGGTGTGAACTGACCTTCAGCCCGGGGTCACACCAATGCGTTGTAGGCAAATTCTGTGCGTTTCCCGCGCCACATTTTAATCGCATCACGTTCATGTGGGCGGTCCATGATAAATGAACGACACCCTGGAAAAAGATCGCAGAACGCCATGTGATTGCCAGAAATCGCATCGGATGGGTGAGAGAACACTCCTGGCGGGGATTTATAAAGGGTCCCGCCCCTTGTTAGTGTGGATGCGATGCGACTTGAGCTGCGCACAGTGCAATGAGCTGAGATGGCACCGCGCAGACATGTGTGTGGAATTTGTACACGCATGCGGTGCGATCCCGGGGGGAACTACATGTGATGTCACGCTGCAACGCATCCTGGGAACCCGGCCTGAGAAACAACAACTTTAGGATGAAAAAGTAAAAAACAGACGAGGAGAAATGAGGATACAATGTAACAGTCCCAACAGTCACAATGATACAATGTAACCCCAACAGTCACAATGATACAATGTAACCCCAACAGTCACAATGATACAATGTAACACCAACAGTCACAATGATACAATGTAACACCAACAGTCACAATGCTACAATGTAACACCAACAGTCACAATGCTACAATGTAACAGTCACAATGCTACAATGTAACCCCAACAGTCACAATGATACAATGTAACACCAACAGTCACAATGCTACAATGTAACAGTCACAATGCTACAATGTAACCCCAACAGTCACAATGATACAATGTAACACCAACAGTCACAATGCTACAATGTAACAGTCACAATGATACAATGTAACCCCAACAGTCACAATGATACAATGTAACACCAACAGTCACAATGATACAATGTAACACCAACAGTCACAATGATACAATGTAACCCCAACAGTCACAATGATACAATGTAACACCAACAGTCACAATGATACAATGTAACCAACCCAACAATCACAATGATACAATGTAACCCCAACAGTCACAATGCTACAATGTAACCCCAACAGTCACAATGATACAATGTAACAGTCACAATGATACAATGTAACACCAACAGTCACAATGATACAATGTAACCCCAACAGTCACAATGATACAATGTAACCCCCCCAACAGTCACAATGCTACAATGTAACAGTCACAATGATACAATGTAACACCAACAACAGTCACAATGATACAATGTACCCCCAACAGTCACAATGATACAATGTAACACCAATAGTCACAATGATACAATGTAACCCCAAACAGTCACAATGATACAATGTAACCCCAACAGTCACAATGATACAATGTAACCCCAACAGTCACAATGCTACAATGTAACCCCAACAGTCACAATGATACAATGTAACAGTCACAATGATACAATGTAACACCAACAGTCACAATGATACAATGTAACCCCAACAGTCACAATGATACAATGTAACCCCAACAGTCACAATGCTACAATGTAACAGTCACAATGATACAATGTAACACCAACAGTCACAATGATACAATGTAACCCCAACAGTCACAATGATACAATGTAACACCAATAGTCACAATGATACAATGTAACCCCAAACAGTCACAATGATACAATGTAACCCCAACAGTCACAATGCTACAATGTAACAGTCACAACGATACAATGTAACCCCAAAAGTCACAATGATACAATGTAACATCACCAGTCACAATGATACAATGTAACATCAACAGTCACAATGATACAATGTAACCGTCACAATGATACAATGTAACACCAACAGTCACAATGATACAATGTAACCCCAACAGTCACAATGTAACCGACACAATGATACAATGTAACCCCAACAGGCACAATGTAACCGACACAATGATACAATGTAACCCCAACAGTCACAATGTAACCAACACAATGATACAATGTAACCCCAACAGTCACAATGATACAATGTAACAACAGTCACAATGATACAATGTAACCCCAACAGTCACAATGATACAATGTAACCCCAACAGTCACAATGATACAATGTAACCCCAACAGTCACACACACGTCACAATGTTCCCCCATGGAAAGAGACGGCGGAAAGTTTTTTGTGGGTTGCTGGGGTCACGCTTACCATGCATGCAGAGACACAGGAGCAGCGCTGCAACGGTCCTCTGTAAGCCGGGATTACCTCCTCTGAACTCCATGCCAAGCAGGAGATGGGCAGCAAGAAGGAGAATCTCTGAGCAGGAAGGAGGTGGAATGCTCTGCAGCCGGGTCCCTGTGCAGCCCTGCGGTGGTAGCAAAGCCTCCCTGCAAGTCCCAGGACTAGCACTACTCTGCTGGACAGGGACTGACCTCTGCTGAGCCTTCTGCCTCCTGGGAGAGTCCTAAAGAGTGGGCTGGATCAGTGGGGAGAGGAGCCGGAGTGAGCGCAGCTCCCACTGAGCAAGACAAAAGGGGATTGGATGAAAGGATCCCAATTTAGGCAAAGCCGGCGTGTTTCCGGGAAACTCCAATCCAATCAATCGATAATAATCTAATCAACCAATCACAGCGTGTCCTCACAGTACCCGACTCGGCATTTACAGGCCGCGCCGAAAAACTTTGTATTCACTTTTATGTAGAAAAAAAAAAAAAGGAAAAAATATAAAATTTATAAACAAAAATTCCAAACGAATCGAGCATTTTACTGAACAAGATCGATTCATTCAGTTTGTTTTGTAGTGATTGGCCCCAGCTAATCACATGGTACAGATGGGCCGTGATTGGCCCTGTTTTCACCATGTGAACATTGTGACCAATCACAGCTGGCCCACAATTGTAACAATGAATCGCATGAAGCCATTTACTGTTTACAGTTGTTATGTGATCTGCTGTGATTGGTCACAGTGATCACATGGTACTGGCAGTGGGCCGGTACACGGATCAGTCATTGGCTGTGTCTGGTGGACAGAGCCGGTGACAGATCACACCCAAGGCTGCGCACGAGGCTCATTGGAGGAGAGACTGTTGGGCCCTGCATTGTACCTGATGATGTCACAGTGCCTGTTGGAGGACCTTAGAGGAGAGTAGGCAGAGGCCTTGCATTGTACCCAATGATGTCATAGTGCCTGTGGCTGCCGGAGGACCTTAGAGGAGAGTCAACGGGGGCCCTGCATTGGGCATTGCCGTGCACCAGGAGGAACCCAGGACCCACCGCGCCAGGAGGAACCCAGGACCCACCGCGCCAGGAGGAGCCCAAGACCCACCGCGCCAGGAGGAGCCCAGGACCCACCGCGCCAGAGGAGCCCAGGACCCACCGCGCCAGGAGGAGCCCAGGACCCACCGCGCCAGGAGGAGCCCAGGACCCCCACCGCCAGGAGGAGCCCAGGACCCACCGCGCCAGGAGGAGCCCAGGACCCACCGCGCCAGGAGGAGCCCAGGACCCACCGCGCCAGGAGGAACCCAGGACCCACCGCACCAGGAGGAACCCAGGACCCACCGCACCAGGAGGAACCCAGGACCCACCGCACCAGGAGGAACCCAGGACCCACCGCACCAGGAGGAACCCAGGACCCACCGCACCAGGAGGAACCAGGACCCACTGCACCAGGAGGAACCCGGGACCCACCGCACCAGGAGGAACCCAGGACCCACTGCACCAGTGTAGGGTCTGATAATGGGTCCAAGGATTTCATCCCCATACCTATTGGCAGTCAGGGTGCCATTGTCTAGCCTGTAGAGGTCTGTACGTCCCTCCATGGATATGCCTCCCCAGACCATCACTGACCCCACCACCACAACGGTCATGCTGAACCATGTTACAGGCAGCAGAACGTTCTCCACGGCTTCTCCAGACCCTTTCAGGTCTGTCACATGTGCTCAGGGGGAACCTGCTCTCATCTGTGAAAAGCACAGGGTGCCAGTGGTGGACCTGCCAATTCTGGGGTTTAATGGAAAATGCCAATCCAGCTCTATGGTGCCAGGCAGTGAGCACAGGGCCCACTAGAGGACGTCGGGCCCTCAGGCCACCCTCATGAAGTCTGTTTCTGATTGGTCAGAGACATTCACACCAGTGGCCTGCTGGAGGTCATTTTGTAGGGCTCCGGCAGGGCTCATCCTGTTCCTCCTTGTACAAAGGGGCAGATACCGGTCCTGCTGATGGGTTAAGGACCTTCTACGGCCCTGTCCAGCCCTCCTAGAGGAACTGCCTGTCTCATTAGTGGCTCTTATAGCTGCCTGGAGTTCAGATTTCGCATTCATCGATTTGCACACGGGGGGGGGGGGGGGGGGGAGGTTAGCTGAGACAAATATTTTGATTATCCTGAGAAACATCCCATTCCTCCCCTCCAGTCCTGCACAGGTGTACCGGCTCCTCCCCTCCAGTCTTGCACAGGTGTACCAGCTCCTCCCCTTCAGTCTTGCACAGGTGTACCGGCTCCTCCCCTCCAGTCTTGCGCAGGTGTACCGGCTCCTCCCCTTCAGTCTTGCGCAGGTGTACCGGCTCCTCCCCTCCAGTCTTGCACAGGTGTACCGGCTCCTCCCCTCCAGTCTTACACAGGTCTACCGGCTCCTCCCCTCCAGTCTTACACAGGTGTACCGGCTCCTCCCCTTCACTTTTGCACAGGTGTACCGGCTTCTCCCCTCCAGTCTTGCACAGGTGTACCGGCTCCTCCCCTCCAGTCTTGCACAGGTGTACCGGCTCCTCCCCTCCAGTCTTGCACAGGTGTACCGGCTCCTCCCCTCCAGTCTTGCACAGGTGTACAGGCTCCTCCCCTTCAGTCTTGCACAGGTGTACCGGCTCCTCCCCTCCAGTCTTACACAGGTGTACCGGCTCCTCCCCTCCAGTCTTACACAGGTGTACCGGCTCCTCCCCTTCAGTCTTGCACAGGTGTAACAGCTCCTCCCCTTCAGCCTTGCACAGGTGTACCGGCTCCTCCCCTCCAGTCTTGCACAGGTGTACCGGCTCCTCCCCTCCAGTCTTGCACAGGTGTACCGGCTCCTCCCCTCCAGTCTTGCACAGGTGTACCGGCTCCTCCCCTCCAGTCTTGCACAGGTGTACCGGCTCCTCCCCTCCAGTCTTGCACAGGTGTACCGGCTCCTCCCCTCCAGTCTTGCACAGGTGTACCGGCTCCTCCCCTCCAGTCTTGCACAGGTGTACGGCTCCTCCCCTCCAGTCTTGCACAGGTGTACCGGCTCCTCCCCTCCAGTCTTGCACAGGTGTACCGGCTCCTCCCCTCCAGTCTTGCACAGGTGTAACGGCTCCTCACCTTCAGCCTTGCACAGGTGTACCGGCTCCTCCCCCCTTCAGTCTTGCACAGGTGTAACGGCTCCTCACCTTCAGCCTTGCAGAGGTGTACCGGCTCCTCCCTCCAGCCTTGCACAGGTGTACCGGCTCCTCCCCTTCAGTCTTGCACAGGTGTAACGGCTCCTCCCCTTCAGCCTTGCACAGGTGTGTAACGGCTCCTCCCCTCCAGTCTTGCACAGGTGTACCAGCTCCTCCCCTTCAGTCTTGCACAGGTGTAACAGCTCCTCCCCTCCAGTCTTGCACAGGTGTACCGGCTCCTCCCCTGGAATGAAATGGCTTCCTCTGCACACTGGGAGCTCCTCACAATGTGCATTAGAAGCTGCAGCCAGATAGAGCTCCGCCTCATTTCCTGGCTGGAGGACGTCTAGCATCATCTAGCATTTTCCTCCCCAGCCTGACTGGCCTTGCCCCTTTCATTCACTGGAATTCAGCTCCGTCAATCAAGAAGGCTCAGCATCCCATGTGGGCATTAACATGAAATACAGCCTGCCCCAGAACCCCCCCACTCCTTCACCCATCAAGTCGCTTTGAAATTTGCATAACTGCTCCCATGATTCAGCCCACTGCTTGCGTCAGGCTGGACATCTTTTAAGAGGAGTACTGAGGAAGGATGCTGTGAGGTTTTCAGAAAGCTATGTACAGCCCTTCCCACCAGCCACAATCTGCCTGCATTGCATAGATAAGCACAGAGACCCAGTGGTGCCATCAATGTAATGAAAATGGAAAGTTTTTTTTTTTGTTTTACATACATATACACACATAATGTGCTTCTGTTTACATAAACTTATTTTATATATTTATCTAAAAAAATGTTATCTATATTATTACATTATTATTATTATTATACAGGATTTATATCGTGCGGTGCTTTACAAAAAGAAGGCGTTTTTGGACATTACATACAGATACAATACAATTTGGTACGAGAGGAATCAGAGGGCCCCGCTCCTTAGGATATATATACTGGAAAAAAAATGTACTTTAGTTTGCATAAACTTTTATATATTTTATATATATATATATATACACACACTTTTGATTATTTCGTATATTACTGTAAAAAAATATGTATGTACACACTACGAATATATATATATATGATGCACCTCACCTTTGTTTTTTACATAAACTTATTTTATATATTCATCTAAAAAAAAAAATAAAGAAGTATTGTGTATATGTATATATATTTAATCAAAAATTTACTTTTGTTTACATAAACTTATGTTATATATTATTTATCTAACCAAAAAAAAAAAAGAAGAAAAAAAAAAAGATTAAGTATATAAATATATATATATGTTCTTTTGTTGATACAAACTTTATTTTTTATATGTTACTATATGTTATATATATGTACTTTGTTTACATATTTATTTTATATATTTATATTTTTTTTTAGTTAAATATATAAAATATGTAAGGTGCAGCTATCTATCTATCTATCTCACTTTGTTTACATAAACTCATTTTATATATTTATCTAAAAAATTAAAAAAAAAAAAATCTAAAAAATTTTATATATTTAATATATACTTAATATATAATATATATACAATAATATTACATACATATATATATATTATACATATATATATATAATATATAATATATATAATATATATAATACACATAATTATATATAAATATATATTACACACATAACATACATATATATACCATATATATATATATACATATATATACACAATACATTATATAATAAATATACTTTTTTTATTATAAATATATTTGTATTTTACTGTAAAAACATTTTAAAAAAATGTGCGTATATATATATATATTATTCATTTTTATATATATATATATTCACTTTGTTTACATAAACTTATTTTATATTATTTATCTAAAAAAAAAAACATATTTTTTATGTTATTGTAAAAAAAAAAATTAAATGTAATAGTGCACTTTGTTTACATATTTATTTTATATATTTTATCTACAGAACTTTTTTTTAGTTAAAAATATATAAAATAAGTTTATGTAAGGTGCAAATATCTTTAAATATAATATATATTATGTATGCACACACAGTATATATAATGTACTTTTGGTTACATAAACTTAAATTTTTTATGTTACATGTAAAAAATGTTTTAAATATATATATATATATATTATATAATATATATATAGAACTTTGTTTACATAAACTCATTTTATATATTTATCTAAAAAAAAAAAAAATATATATATATATATATATATATATATTATATATTTTTAAAAATGTACTTTTGTTTATATAAACATATTTTGTATTGGTTACTGTCAAAACATTTAAAAAAAAAAAAAAAAAAAATATATATATATAATTAGATACTTTGTTTACATAAACTTATTTATATATTAATCTAAAAAAAAAAAGTATTATATATATAATATATATATATAAATATATATATTTAAAAATTAATATATACTTTTGTTTATATAAACATTTTTTATAATGTTACTATGTACTTTTTGTATATAAAAAACTATTAAATCTATATATTGCAATGTGTTTACATATTTATTTTTTTATATATTTATCTTTTTTTTTTTTTTTTTAGTTTTAATATATATAAAATACGTTTATGTAAGGTGCATATATATATATATGGCACTTTGTTTACATAAACTCATTTTATATATTAATCTAAAAAAATAAAATAAAAGAAAAAAAATTATATATATATTTGAAAATATTATATTTTTTATATATAAACATATCTTGTATGTTATATATAATATTTAAAAAACATTAAAAAAAAAAAAAAAAAAAAAAAATTATATGTATATATAAATATATATATATAAATAATAAATATATATATATATATACAAGCACTTTGTTTACATAAACTTATTTTTAATATATTTATCTAAAAAAAAAAAAAAAAAAAAACACACACACACACTTAAAAATATTTTGTTAATATAAACATATTTTGTATGTTACTGTAAAAACATATTAATTATATATATATATTGCACTGTTTAAATACTTATTTTTTATATATTTATCTATATAACTTTTTGTTAGATAAATATATACAATAAGGTTATGTAAACAAAGGAAAGGTGCAATTATAAATATATATGTATGCACACACCGTATATATAATGTACTTTTGGTTAAACTTATTTCATATGTTTGTGTAAAAAAAATATTTTGTATAGATCTTAGACATATACACGGCACTCAGTATATACAGTATATACCCACACACACACATTAGAGTGTAACTGAAAAAATGAGATCCAAGAATATGGGCTAACCATGTAAGATCTACAGATAAAGTCCCCCAGACCAGGGAGCATTCCTATCAGCTGAATCATCCTGACCTCTATGAAGGAGCCCCAGCAATCTCCTTTGTAGTTCCCATTCTGAGTGAGTCACTCGGGGCTCATCTACAAGTGAATGGGACATACAATACAGGACACAACCAATCATTGCAGGTGCTCCAGAGCCTTCTGTAAGCAATCCAATGAGGTGCAGGAACGGCGCATTGCTGTAAAATCTGGTACAGTGGAATTACATTGGTGGTCAGTGGGAAGAATGTCCCTTACATTGGTGGTCAGTGGGAAGAATGTCCCTTACATTGGTGGTCAGAGGGAAGAATGTCCCTTACATTGGTGGTCAGTGGGAAGAATGTCCATTACATTGGTGGTCAGTGGGAAGAATGTCCCTTACATTGGGGGTCAGTGGGAAGAATGTCCCTTACATTGGGGGTCAGTGGGAAGAATGCCCCTTACATTGGAGGTCAGTGGGAAGAATGTCCCTTACATTGGGGTCAGTGGGAAGAATGTCCCTTACATTGGGGGTCAGTGGGAAGAATGTCCCTTACATTGGTGATCAGTGGGAAGAATGTCCCCTTACATTGGGGGTCAGTGGGAAGAATGCCCCTTACATTGGTGGTCAGTGGGAAGAATGTCCCTTACATTGGGGGTCAGTGGGAAGAATGTCCCTTACATTGGGGGTCAGTGGGAAGAATGTCCCTTACATTGGTGGTCAGTGGGAAGAATGTCCCTTACATTGGTGGTCAGTGGGAAGAATGTCCATTACATTGGTGGTCAGTGGGAAGAATGCCCCTTACATTGGGGGTCAGTGGGAAGAATGTCCCTTACATTGGGGGTCAGTGGGAAGAATGTCCCTTACATTGGGGGTCAGTGGGAAGAATGCCCCTTACATTGGTGGTCAGTGGGAAGAATGCCCCTTACATTGGTGGTCAGTGGGAAGAATGTCCCTTACATTGGTGGTCAGTGGGAAGAATGACCCTTACATTGGTGGTCAGTGGGAAGAATGTCCCTTACATTGGTGGTCAGTGGGAAGAATGTCCCTTACATTGGTGGTCAGTGGGAAGAATGTCCTTACATTGGTGGTCAGTGGGAAGAATGCCCCTTACATTGGTGGTCAGTGGGAAGAATGCCCCTTACATTGGTGGTCAGTGGGAAGAATGTCCATTACATTGGTGGTCAGTGAGAAGAATGCCCCTTACATTGGTGGTCAGTGGGAAGAATGCCCCTTACATTGGTGGTCAGTGGGAAGAATGCCCCTTACATTGGTGGTCAGTGGGAAGAATGCCCCTTACATTGGTGGTCAGTGGGAAGAATGCCCCTTACATTGGTGGTCAGTGGGAAGAATGTCCCTTACATTGGAGGTCAGTGTGAAGAATGTCCCTTACATTGGTGGTCAGTGGGAAGAATGTCCCTTACATTGGAGGTCAGTGGGAAGAATGTCCCTTACATTGGTGGTCAGTGGGAAGAATGCCCCTTACATTGGAGGTCAGTGGGAAGAATGTCCCTTACATTGGTGGTCAGTGGGAAGAATGCCCCTTACATTGGTGGTCAGTGGGAAGAATGCCCCTTACATTGGTGGTCAGTGGAAGAATGTCCCTTACATTGGTGGTCAGTGAGAAGAATGTCCCTTACATTGGTGGTCAGTGGGAAGAATGTCCCTTACATTGGAGGTCAGTGGGAAGAATGACCCTTACATTGGTGGTCAGTGAGAAGAATGTCCCTTACATTGGTGGTCAGTGAGAAGAATGTCCCTTACATTGGTGGTCAGTGGGAAGAATGTCCCTTACATTGGTGGTCAGTGAGAAGAATGTCCCTTACATTGGTGGTCAGTGGGAAGAATGCCCCTTACATTGGAGGTCAGTGGAAGAATGCCCCCTTACATTGGTGGTCAGTGGGAAGAATGCCCCTTACATTGGAGGTCAGTGGGAAGAATGTCCCTTACATTGGGGGTCAGTGGG